TTTAACCATTTGCTCAGATCGTGTAACAGCATGATTATCCCTCCCACAAAATGTTTAATATCTTAAAAAACTCTAAACTCACAGAGATTTTTTTCAAGTTCTCAGATAAGAACTTTAGCCAGCTTGACACCATTTGTCGTAAGACTCACTGAAAAACCCTTTGAGTTATTCAGCTAGAAAGAGAACAGGTTAAAATCATTTTGTGTCAGCTTCACTATGTCTTTCTAGGGCAATGGTGAGAGGAAAAAGATCATTCAGGCCTTCAGTGATGGTACCAACATTGATATTCTGGCTTCCATCTTCAAATCCATTCAAGAACCATCAAGAGAACGATGAATAAGTTTTAAAAAGAAGGAACAGTAAAGAGGAATCATCTTTTCAACTGAGAGCTAAATACATCCTTATTGTTGAAATTAGAGTTAAATAGTGTTATAAAAACCTCGAAGAATTCCATTAAGATATCTTTAATCATTTCTAAGATATAATGCTTCATAGCTTAATATAACAATTAGATAATTTTGCTATTACACTCGGTATATTGATTAACTTTTAAAATTAATGCATTTATTATTTAATTTTATTTTGATTAATTATTTATTTATGTATTTATTTTAAATAACAGAATTTTTTTGATTTAACCATTACCTTTTAATTTTTAAAAATATTTATGCTCATGTATGGGAAGGAAATATTTTTTTTAGTAAAGGAGATATTTGAAAAAATCCGGGCGCATGTTGATATTTTGGTAAGACTTGATAGCGGCATTCTCAAGAATTTTCTGTCTAAGTTATTTTCTATTTTAATAAATGTGTCATTTTTTAGATTAAAGTTGTGGTTGAACTTTAATAAATTGTTATGCATAAGATCCTTTTTCTGTTCATCAATAAGTTCTTTTTTAATTTCTGCAAGTTTCCCCAGTGTACTATGAAGAGCAGTCGTGACAGTTTATTTTATATATACCTGCTTCAGGATTAGTAGACTTTTGGTTCTGGATATATGTATAATAGTTTGAGGTGTAGTTATTTTGATATTGCTAAAATTGGATAAATTGTTTGGGAAAAAATTAATATTAAATCGAGGATATTTTACGGGAATATGACGTCTTCGAAAAGTTAATTTTCTACTCCATTTTCTAATGTTCGCCCAATACAAGGCCCCAGAGCCACACAAGGTAGAGGGTTGCTAAATAAGGTGTATAGTAAGGATGTAAGAGTAGGAAGTAGCTAGAGAAGATTATGAGGATATGGAGGATAGATAATTATTGAACCTTGACTTGAAGTGGTTAATGATTGTATAGCCTTCGGGGAGATTCCTCGAGAGAGTCTGTTCCACAATGCAGTGGTTCTTTTCTTAAAATATATTTGAGTGGAACATCCTTCTTACAAGTGGAAAATGGGGTAATGGTGATTCGATTCCTTTAAAGCACTGATTAGCTGGTTGATTCGTTTAGCCTCATATCGAACTCTATAGGTTATTTAATGCCGAGATCTAAATATTTTGGGCACAATTATGGCTTTAATGAAATATATTATACTACAGTTAGAAATGTTGCTTACTTTTCTATAAAATGTATTATGAATAGGTATTGAAGGTATTTTTTATATAATAAGGTTTTGCTGATATTTGTACTATCAAAATTTAGACTTTCATCGTGTTTTCTGTAAGGGTTCGTTATTAGCCCATAGCTGGGACCCTAAAAGGTGCTACCACCTCGGGTAAGTGTTGACCTGGGAATAACATCAATTAAGAGGTGGGTCCACGCTTCTAAAAACCTCTCAAGTCAGTGGCCTTAATGCTAGAGGCAGTTTATTGTCATACCCAGGACTAAGGAAGTTCTCAGCTAATGACACTAAAGTTTGGGGAACGTCCGAACATTTGCCATAGAAATAGTGATAGATTACCAATAGATTCTTGACATTGCGACTCTGGGGAAAGCGGTTGCAAGGTGGAAAATATGTCATTCTCTACAGGGTCGCGTAAAGCCATTCCTCTTTCAATTTCTAAGGTGAGGATTTATCATTATTGACATTATTTATTTTCCGACTAATACCCCCATCTTTGATATCATTATTCCAACATTTTGGACAGCTTACTTCAGGTGTCAGTTGATCCAAACAGCCTTGATAGAATTTAAAACTGAGTCCTTTATTTAAACTATGAGGCAACGTGTTCTCATTTCTTCCTTGCCCGCAAATACTCTTGAGTAAGTTAGAATATTTACTCCCCAGCTATGGAATAAATAGTTGTATTTTCACCTGGAAAATCATTGTTATGTCTTATAAAAATATTCTTATAATCCAAAAAAATATGTTTTGGCTTAAAAAATCCTTCAAAAGGTTGATAAACAAATCAGTCAATCAATCGCATTTCTCTACCAATACCTAGGAATATATTTCGTTAGAAATAAAGAAAATAGTGTTGAATTGTTATGTAATAGCACTCTTCCCCAGTGGCAGTGAATGCTGGATAATATCCTTCAGATAAAGAAGCTTGTGTCAAC